ACACCCAGAAAAAGAAAAGTTATTTACATTAAAAAGTCAACCAACTAAAAACTACTCCTAGTTATCCCTTCAAAGTAGGAACTATATTCGGTAACTCACATTAATATTAATTTTTATTCCTATTTTATGTATATTTATTGTATTATATGATAACTAAACAAATCTTTTTTTTTTCCCTCTGTCTTCTACCATAAACCTACCCACACACTTCACAAACCCTTCCCTCTCTCTTAAATCTGCTTCAATTCCTCTTGTTTGGATTTTAGGGTATGTTTGTTTGAGAATGACGGAAAAGCCGGAAATTGTAGAAAGCAGCAACGGGGTAATCTTGGACCCTTTGTCTGTTTATGATTTTACCGATGATGCTTTACTAAATCTGTCATCAGAGAGAAGAGTAGTAGAAATTAGTCCTGATTGTGGTGCGGAATCTTCCATTGACAGAAAAAAAAAACCACACAATGCTACTGAATCTCCAGATAATGCAATCCCTAATAAATCTGTTGGGCAAATTTCCACTACAAGAAGAATAACCCGCTCTCAGACGCCTCATAATGGAGCAGCTGAGCCTACTGTGAAGAAATCACTAAATTACCCTAGAGCTGTAAGAGGTAAATTAGTTGGAAAACATGTTAAAAGGAGGAAGCTTGTTAATGCTGCTGCCAAAAATAAGAGTAAATCTGTACAGATCCGTGAAGTTATTGGATCAAAAAAGAGAAAGTTGGAGGGACAAGCTCCTAGCTCCTCCTCCAATTTGAAGGTATGTTATTTCTCAACCCTTTTCACTGGTTTATTTGTGTTTAATGTATTTGTATGTGGTCTTCCTGAGCCGACGGTCTATCGGAAACAACATCTCTGCCCCATCAGGGTAGGAGTAAGGTCTGCGTACACACTACCCTCCCCAGACCCTACTTTGTGGGATTTTACTAGGTGGTTGTTGTTGTATTTGTATGTGTATATTGTCTATGTAATTCTAATATGCTGAATGTATATTAATAGTATATGATGTGTATGCATAATGTATATATTACTGTCTGCAGCAATATTAATTGTATATGTTATGTATAGACTTTTTAGGTGCATACACAACTATTACAGTGTGTATACTTTGTGTATAGTCAACAATATTAAGAATACAGGTGCTACTTCATGAATTTTTTTAATTGTTCACTAACATCAATTGAACTTTTTTGGAATGCAGACTTGGGATTTCTACATTCCACCAAACAAACATTTTCACACGCGTATAAGTTCACACACAAATTGTGAAGTCGTTAAATTGTTGAAGAGCAAATTGGATGATAGACAGCTCCAGATCTTCAGGGGGACTGCGTTCGGGTATTTTCTTGATTTGCCTACTGTAGTTGTACAGAACCAGCTTGTACATTCCCTATTGCTCAGGCAGGTGGTCCCAAAAAAAGAGGACGAACTGTGGTTTAAAGTGAACGGGACCAAGTTGCGTTTTGGACTGGCAGAACTAGGGATTATTACTGGTTTGAAATGTTGTGGTGATGCTGATAAGGGCTATGAATCTAGTAGTACTAATAATAGGTTGATGGATATGTACTTTTCTGGACTTGAAAAAGTACCCAAGCAATCATTGATTGACTGCTTCCTTGAAAAGAGATGGAGGTCGGACGAGGATGCGGTCAAGATTGCTGTGTTGTATTTCATACACACATTCTTGTTCTCAACTGGGTCTAGGGCATTCATCACGAAGGCTGATTTTGATATTGTTGAGAGCGGGGAGTATGAGACATTCCCTTGGGGTATACTTGTATTTAGAGCCATGGTGGAGACCATGAACAATAGGTTGTGGACCGGTCTAAAGATGTATAGGCTTGGGGGTTTACCTTTGGCTATTCAGTGCTGGTTCTATGAGTGCTGCACCTATGTTGATGGCAAGTGGGCTCACCGGATTGAAAACAAAGTGCCCCGTATTCTTAATTGGAAAATTCGGAGGCAACCGACCTTGAACGAGTTGTCTAGTGGGATCTTCAAGATGAGTGGGCACAAGGTAAGTCAATATGCATAATCTGTAATACGCAGTATAGTAAATGTATATGCAGTGTATACAGCATGTGAAATAAATGTATATGGTACAAATCCTAAATATTCCGTGGGCTGTTTTTCATCTATTTTCATCTACTCATTCAAATTCTTTTCTTTATGTAGTTGAAGTTGAAGAATGTTTCTCCTACAGAGTTTGAGCAAATTCACTTGGATTTGCCTGAATCATCTGGAATTCCAAATGATAAGGAGGTGGATTCGTCTGAGCTTCCTGAATTTCATCCTAGTGATGATGACTTTAGCACTCCGCCTCCTAAAAGAAGCAAAAATCGGCCGAAGACTAAATCGGATCCCCCAGTGAACAATTTGGAGATGAGTGATGAGATCCAACGGCTGTCGGATGGGCAGTCGGAGTTGAAGAGTGATATTCAAAAGGTATGGTCAATTCTGTCTATGTTTTAGTTTAACATTTAAGTTTATATACACACAAACGGCTGTTTCATTTTGTTTTTGTTTTGTTTTCTTAGGTCCTTAAAGCAACCGAGTCTCTTAAGGAACAAATGATGGCGTCATTTGCAGATGTCTTTAAAGCAATTGAGTCTTTGTCAAAGAAACAACCAGAAAAGGATGATTCAGAAGTATTGCACATAGAATTGATCCCTTTTTTGTTTTTACTGGAGTGCACTAATATTCTGTGCCATTTTCAGCATATTATTGTAGTTTATGCTGTTCTTTTTTTCTTTTCATTTTTTGACAGATTGATGGAAGAGATGGCCACCATGACAGACATGGTGATGGTGATTCCGGCGGTTTTAACGCTAATGATGACCATGGTAGTGACGGCCCAGATCATGGTAAGGACTCCATCGGTGACAAGGAGAATACTGAGGAAGGCAATGTTGAGGCCATGGATGGATGATGATTTGACTTAATGTAATAAGCAGGTTGTTGAGATTGCAGAATCCGTCACGGGGGACAAGAAAGATAGAGCAGCCTAGTGCAAGCAGCTGTACTGTTTGAATCCTTGTCCAATTTGGAACTGGCATAAACAAGTTAGGATTTTTCAAATCAATAAGAAGGTCTTGCCTATTTAATCCGCACCAGTGGTGACTATTTCTACTGGATGGTACGATAGACGTGCAGTCAATGAGAGTGACACCATGGGGTGTAATGCAGACCCTGGTTGTCGATTGGTCTTCATGTCCAAATAATATGGTTGCTGCTCAAAAGCTGTGTCTGGAAAGTCTTAGGAGTTTCTGCAATTGAATGAGGCAAGCTGATTGGTCAAGAGTTTGCTTTTGTGCTTTTGTAGTCCCGTACATTTCGACCACGAAAGCATTTATGCTGTGTTTATATGTAAATTTTATTGGCTTAGTTCTATGTAATCATAAGATATTCATACCTTAAGTATTAAGGTGGAAAGACCTACAATTATTCGTACTGGCAAAATAGATTCCTAACTAAAGCAGTGTAAGAAGTACCAAAATTCCATGAATTGAAGGCTTATATTCTATTCTACTGCACTATATTTTCTTTTCCAACAGTCAAATTAAGGAGTACTCATGGAGAAACATTAACTTCAGTAGCGGTATAATTGATATCACTTTAAAAGGATATTGCAACAAAATCAAGACTCTAGTTGTTATTATCTATTAGATTGTGCATACAAGATATGCAGATGCTAGAATACAAGTTAATTTGTTTATTGACCAGATGAAACAATTTGTTGTTGTATTACTTACTATACAGAGAAATATAAAATTGTTTTCAGCGACTAAAGGGTCCAAGACAATAAAATAACCCATCAAGTCCTTGTCAAGATTAATTAGGTTTAGGCCGTGGGGTTAAGGTTGAAGAGAGACTCTAATTTAGATACCATTTATAGAAAAAAGAGCCGTGATGGTCAAGGAAAGTAAAGAACTTATAAGTAAAATATGTTCGATTCATTTACGACAAATAATGAAGGAACTATGAGAACAGTACTCAACTAGATCGTCTGACTGCTAAACTACTCAGCTATATACTACTTAATTATAACAAATTTTCATGCCTTGAGCAGAATATTGGCGTTTTGTCTGACCAGAGCACTATATAAACCAGTTAGATCATCCCAGTCTCCACACAACCAACACTTAACAACAAAACCAGAAAAGAGAAGAGGAACAAAAACCATGAAGAACTCTAGCATGGGAACATCACTTCTCTTGTTACTGGTTTTTGCCACTCTTACTTACTGCTCGGATGCAAGATTACAGGCATGTCAGCCGAGTGGAAAAATCAGGGGCATAAAGCCACCTCCAGGACAATGCAACCCGGAAAATGACTCAGATTGTTGCAAACAAGGCAAGATGTACACCACTTACAAATGTTCGCCTTCTGTGACTGGCAACACCAAGGCTGTTTTAACCTTAAATAGCTTCCAAAAGGGCGGAGATGGGGGTGGACCATCGGAATGTGATAACCAATACCATTCTGATGATACTCCAGTTGTTGCCCTTTCAACCGGATGGTACAGTGGAGGAGATAGGTGCCTTAACTATATCACCGTAAGTGCTAATGGCAAAAGTGTGAAGGCTAAAGTGGTAGATGAGTGTGACTCTACCATGGGATGTGATGACGAACATGATTATCAGCCTCCGTGCCCGAATAACATTGTTGATGCCTCTAAAGCAGTGTGGGAAGCCTTGGGTATACCTGAAGGTGATTGGGGCGAGTATGACATTACATGGTCTGATGCTTAGTGCGTAATTACTAGCAGAACAGTACTACATGTATGATAATGTGAATATCTGAATTATCTCTAATATGTACATTTAAATCTATTGAAGTGCTGTACTTTCTTGCGACGTGAGATAGCAAACTTGTATCTATTTGTATGTTATATTGTTTCTCCATTGAATGGTTAGAGACATAAAAGACACATCCAAGGCTCTCAAAGCATTGAATAATTACTGAGGAACAGATTTCAAACTCAGGCAGACATATCAGTCCAATGAAAACAAGAAATAATAGAAGTATGTCTTCCACCACAAGATCAAGAAAAAATTCGCCAATTTCATGGAACAGTCTGTTTCTAGAAGACAAACCACAATATGTTACACGCGCTGGCTGAAGCCTCCAGCATGAATTGAACTACTACTAAAGTAGAAAGGCAGATTCAAGTTAACTGCAAAAAAAACTCCTATATCACTACAATCTAAGGTGCTGCTGATGGTTATAATAACATGTCTCATGTCAAGATGGTAGGACTGGAGAAATCAGAACATAATATATACAGTGCTCACTCGTCTACCTACATATGAAGTAGTCATCCTCGCATCAAATCAATGTCAATATGGCCTGTTTGTAGATCCATCTGCCTTGAACTAGGCCATACTCCCATTGAAGAGGATGGTGTAAGATTCTGGTTCGATAGAGCATCAGCTGGATTTACAGAATTGCCAGTGGTTTGAAGATCTGAAGTTCCTGCGCTTTGTACACTTTCTGCAGCTCTTTTCTTTGCCTTCGAACTTGAGCATAAAAAGCTTCCCACTATTACCTGAAGTCATTCACTTTCAATTTCAGGATTTGAACAGGTAAGTGATAAGCCAAGGGACAAGATAAGAAAGCTTAGCCTCCATATCATCAAGCGAGCAAGCAGTTTAATAGGAAAACCAATTTCGTCATGATCTAGAGATGATAACACAATTATATACAATATCTAAAACAAGTCAAACCCTTTTGAGATTCAAAGGTGCATGTGGGTTAGAATGGAAGCAACCTTATTTAGTTTCTTACTAATTCCTAGATGACTTCATCATAGTATCGCGAAGATGGCCAAATACCTAATGATTTCTGTTCAAAGACATGAAATGGAGATCTCGATAAGATGAAAGGCATTGAAAATAATACCTGAATCGGACTTGCTGCAATTAGAAGACCTCCAACTCCACCACCTATCACGCGACCATCTGGATTAGCAAGAGTAACACTAAGGCTACCATTCCTACCCCGAGATCCACTATTATCGCTGACCAAGAAAGAGCCCGATAGACATAATATCTCAAACCGTCCCTGTATGGGATAAGAACACAATTATACTTAATTCAGTACTTAACACAATTATAATCAGTACAAAAGTTCTGGCATCTGCAATCAATAGCTAGGGATAAGTACGATCAGTTTCCTCATTAGTGCAATTTAAATGTCAAACCAAGAAAAAGTGGCTAGTGAATTAAAACATTTATACATAAGAGTTAAGCAAACAACCATGAATTCTACGCCATAAAATTTCTTAATTTATGAGTTAAAAATTCTCCAATTGGATATTAAGGACATAGGCAATTAGCTCTCAAAATCATTTCAGGGTTAATAAAATATCCAAGTAACATTAACAGTTTTATTTCCTATCCATTAGCAAAGAACTCAATTTCACCGTTGCATCTCAAGCAAAGATAAAAACTTCCTGCAGATCAGTCTGAACTATAGACATTTATGCTCTCCACGCAAAAAGATATCAACTTACTGTTATCAGCTTGAAAAATTATATTTTTGGAATCTAATGTTAGTCTTCAGACCTCATATGTAACAGTGCCACCAGAAGTTGATGGCTGACGAAGAGTTACAGTGGAGATGACACCATTTGCTGATAAAATACATATTGATCTAGGCCCTTGTTGCGAAAATGACATTATTTTTGTTGTGATGTCCTGCAGGAAAGCCGCAAATGAACCACTCATTAATATCGTTAGTGCCAGAATTAAAATCAAAATAGAAAAGTAACTGAATGGCTGAAAGAGCACTAATTATGGTAAGCCACAAGCAGTTTTTCCAATTGAAGTTATAACAATATTGTACTGTATTTGTTAATTCAAACATAATTTGACTTTTCACTTTCAAGTGTCAACTATTAAAAGAAACCTCCTAAGATACCTGATTCCAGATTCTCCTTACATACTCAATTTATTAAGCCAACTACAGCTAAAAAGGCACCCATAAACAGCAGAATGGTAGTATGAGAGACTTTCAGAGATGCTTATCAATATATTGAGATTGCAAACCTGTAAAGAAAAATCTTTAGTTGTTTCTACTCAATGACAAGTAAGTTCCAATGCAATAGTTAAGCACAAAAGACGTGTAAACACTTTGCTTTCCACTCTCCCCCTTCCACAAGCAAACGCACCCCAATCCGATGGAGAGAAGCATATAGCAACCAAATAATCCCTTTCATTGCATATGCTCATGTACTGATCAATCTAGGTCCCTGAAGATATCTAGACCAAAATTAAATGATACTAATTCTTTTTCTTTCTTTGCTATTGAGTTCATTATATTACTTCTTTCTCAAGTTCATAGAAAGCCTAACTTTGGAAAATAAACAGGGCGTGGAAAAGTTCATTCCCATGCTCTTACAATTTCCATGTAAAAAGCTGTAATGTCCCAGCATGGTGAAGCGAGAAAAAAATTTAAACAGTAGTTTCAGTCATGCTATCAATGTGATATGCTTATTTACACACTCTAAAACATGTGAATCACATACTTCGCCTACGGCAATCATGATGACATGCGGGGTAAAACCAATTCCAGCTGTATTGGACAACCATCCACCTAGCAAAAGAATCAACCATTATAAGACAATCAAACGGCAAGTTGGCAACCAAAGAAACATAACAGCTGCAGGAATTTCGGAAAATTCTCAATGGATAGAAAACAATACTCACATTGATGAATAACACTGATACTTAACAAAGGAAGAAAAGAATTTTATGAAATTTCAACCTTGTGTAGAAAGTACATTTTACTTTCTTTAGGACAATTATTGAATTTGGTGGTTCAGATTTTCCACTCTGAAGCCTCATGTGACTATAAAATGCTTCTGTGTACTTATCAGATCAATATGCTTTATCATCCTTTTACATATCTATCTATCTTATATGAGGTAGCTTTATTGCAAGAAAAATCCATCCACTATTCAGGAAGACACAATGATGAGCAAAATCATAATGATGCAGATAGCCAACTGCAAAAAGGAATATTTTGTGGCCTAAGAGGACTGCAAAGAAGCAAGCTGGTAGAGCTTCCTCGATCAGATAGTTCTAGATTAAACAAAGAACTTAACAAAAAACTCCTAAGAGTACTAAACAAATATATCAGGTGACTACCATTTAACTACTCAAATTGCCAGGATCCATGGAAATGCAAACTAAAGGGAGAAATTACCAAAAGACGCAAGTTGCTGCTTTCGTCCAGTCCCTGGTGGCCTTCCTCTACCCCTCTTCTGAGTTGGAATTAATGTCATCGCCTGAGTAGACGGAGGTGGAGTCAATCCCAATGACGTCGCCCCTTGAGCTCCATACTTCCGAGGCCTACCCCTCTTTCTGCGCACAGGCTCACCTTGTGGCAATGCTGATGATGCACCAATACTACCTCTAGGGGATATCGTCGAAGAAGGATCCACTACTAGTGTTTGTGGAATCGAAGAGCCACTACTACTAGATTGAAAGGGAATATTGGCAGTAGGTAATGAAGGATTAATGCTTGGTGATCCCTGTAAACCAGGGGCATTCCCACTCATCCCTCTTTGCATATAGTAAGGAGCGGAACCAGGTAACATCATACCTTCCCTTCGATCCATACATTTATTTCTTTTTTCAGAACTCCAAAAACAATAAATCCCCTTTAAACAGTTATTTAAATCTCAAAGGAAAGGGGATCAAAGTCACAGCTCTTTGTGCTAAACATTAAAGGTGGTCTTCACAACATGAAAACCAGTAAAAGTTGCAGCCTTGGATAAATGGCATAAAAAGACTGAACTTCCTAAAACACTGAACTGAACTTTACTATGCACATTCAAGATTTCCTTAAAGCCTCCCAATTAGTGCAAAATCTGAAAAGATTTTAAGACTATGTTAGTGACATGAAGTTAAGAAATAGCAACATAAACTAGGCATATAGATAAAAGTAGAAACACACTAAAGTAAGAGAATGAAAGTGAAAGAGCCCTGAGTTACTAAATTCAACAGATAAACAAAAGAAGAGGCTAAGAGACATGTGCATGGGAAGAGAAATGCAAGTTCAAAGCAAAAGGGCTAAGATAAACAAGAAAGAACACAAGAAAAAGAATACAAGAACTTTTAGCAGCTTACCAAACCAATTAGAAAAGGAAAGGGGCTTCACATTTAAGACAAATGCAAAAATAAACAGATGCTAAACTAATATATTAGTCTGGTCCATTTTCACCTTACCATTCAAAACCAACCCTTAATTAAACACCAAGTTCTGCTTCATGGCCAAAATCCCACAAACCATTTAAACAGAAAAAACCAAAAACCAACAAAGAAATCAATGTCATTGCATCAGGAACAAGAACCCCAGTAATAAAAATCCATTCTTGATATTGCAAATTGAATAAAGATCACAACTTTATGATATTCTTGCCAATGAAACTGACACCAAATTGATTAAAATGCAAAAAGTAGGTGAACCTTTTGGAAAAAAAAAAAGGTTTAAAGCATAGAGAAAGAACGAGGGGGGAAATGGTGAAGTTAGTATAACCTGTGACAAGTCCTTATCTGAAATGAAAATGGAAATTCAAATGTGGGGTAGAGAGAGCTATTTCTGTTTCGGTTTCAGAAGGTATAGATATGTGTTGTGTCATTGTGTGGTATGTGAGAGAGAAATTGAGTGATGCCAATTTGTTTGAGCAAAGTTTCTGAAGATTGAATTGAAGAGAGAGTACATGCGCTCTCTCAAACCTGAAAAAAGGCGCTGAGTGGATAATGCCGATATTTATTGCGCCCAAAAATTAATTTAATAACGACTTTTCAATTTGCATGTCCATTTCCACGCGCAGTGTGTGACGCGTTAGCACGCGCACCTTTTTAACTGTCGTCATAATGTTCACTTTTGACCCTGAAGTTTGGGAACATTGCCAGTTTGCCACTTAAGAGCTTTTTGGTTGACAAATAAGTTATGAAAGATTGTGATGGAAGGAATTAGTAATACATGAATTATAATTTCAAATTATTTTTTGTTGGATATTTGATTGTCTAAAAATAGAATGTACGGTAAAATTTAATATATGATTTATTTTGTTAAATTTAATAAAATTGAAAGGTGTTGATGTTGAGTATGAGAAAAAGATAATGGACAATTTTGTCTTTTGGTGTTTAATTTATCCATATATTGTTATTTCTTGTTTATATTAAGTACAAAATAATACACAAATTGGTGTATTAAGTTATATCAAGATTAACTATGCATGATTCAAATATTAATCAAACACCGGATAAGACAATTAGGGGCGAAGCTACAGTGCCGGGAGCGGGCTCGCCCGAGCCCGGTAGCTTTGATTCGAACCTTGTTTTTGTATTAAAAATTTATTGAATATGTATAAATTATTAATTTAAAACCCAGTAAATTAAAACGATTAGAACCTCGAACCCATAAATTTTAAATCCTGGCTTCGCCTCTAAAGACAATACCAAATTTTATATCTTCATAGATTTTTTTCATCCATTTCATATAGTCCTAAGGTGTTGAGTGGTTACTTGCTTTTAGAGCATCCTGTTACGAAAATCTGGGATTATAACACATTGATTACGCTAACATGGGATTAAAGTATTTGAGTTATGAAATTCTATGTGCTTATCTCTTGCTTATTCATAATATAAGTTAAAAATTTAAAGTGGTAAAGAAGTTTTCTTATCTCTCCACAATGACAAATAACTTATCCTTCGTTATAAATACATATTGCACGTAAACAATTACTCATATCTATGTTTTTCCTTCTATAAAAGAAGGCACAAAATGTAACCAAAAAAAAAAAAAATTAAAGAACAAACCCAAGAAGTACCTAAAGAATAAAAGTTTGGGATGGGCGAGAAAGCAAATGATACTAATTAATAAATCACATGGAGCTGACGTTCGAGGATGATGTTTGCTCAAAAGTTATCACATACCTTATGAGTATAAAACAATGATAATAGGTGAATTTGACTATAATCACACCTCAAATAATCACCTTCTTGTGTAGTTTTAATGCTAAAAGTGATGACAAAATGCTCTTATTAGTGCTTTTCATGATTTGTAGGTGATATATGTATAAAGACGGCTAATGAGCAGTTTTGGAGTCAAAAATGATGAAAAAGAGGCCAACTGTGAAATTTCCTAAGTGACCCGTGCAAAAACAGGCCGAAGATTCAGAGAACTGGATCCATCGCGGTTCCACCGCGACCGCGGCAGAACCGCGGTGGGAAGCAGCTGCAGAAGTTCAGAGATTCCGCGAGGGTGTTTGGCCGCGGTTCTACCGCGACCGCGGCAGAACCGCGGCAGGCGCAGAAACTTCTGGGACCAAAGTATCAATTACGGGATTTTTAGACCTAAACCCTATTTAAAACATTAGACTTCGCCCAAGAGAGGCATGTATTGATTTTTTAGGTTTCTTAGCAAGGAAAACAATTGTGAGAAAGTACTCTAAACATCTTTCTTCTTTTCTTTTGATTTTATGATGAATTCAAGCTTAGTTTATGTTCCCACAGTCATGAGTAGCTAAATTCCTTGTCTAAGGCGTTGATGGAACCTATTGGGTGATGAACTTCTTGTTTATGTGAATACAAATTGCTAGTTTAATCTTTATTTGTTCAACTTCGTGTTCGTTGTAGTTAATTGACAGGATCCTCAATTAGCTGTGCCTATTTAGTGTGCATAACTTGGAAAAGAGTGCATATTTAGGGTATTGTTGAACAACACCACTCCTAGATTATTAGAGGAATCTATAATTGCGGGTTTAAAGGCGGGATTAGGAATAACGAAGCCTTGAGTGCAATCTAAATTGAATTGTGCTAAATAAAGTAAGCTAGTGTATCTCGGGAGAGTGCAATAGTAAATTACTGTGATTACTCGGGAGAGATTTACGGTAAGATTAGCGTTCATGATTGATAGAGATGTGTGGGTAAATTTGTATGAGCATAAACAGAAGGGATTGCATTAATAGGGGAAATCATTGCCTTAGCTTTTTCTCATAATTGTTTACAACCTTTAATTTTTACTTAGTTACAGCCATTTAGTTATTTGCAAGCTAGTTATTAAAGAACACTCAACTGAGATTCGAATATTTGGGAAGCTGGTTCTGAAGACTTAGTGGGTCTGAAGATAGCAGTTGATAGGTTAACTCTCTGTGGATTCGACCCTGGGCGTAATACTCGGGTTATATTTGCAACGTCCGCAGAGTCCTTTTTATAAGGCATAGTTGGGCGTGATCAATAATCTGCAAATGAAAATGCAGACCCCTTAGCATTTGAATGCCATGTCGACATAATAACTTACGTCAAAAGAAAAGAAATTCAAAGATGAATTCTTCCGCCTAACTTTCTGCTTCATATTACTTTTTCTCCTGCAGAGAAACATTGCTTTTCTCTTTGTCTATTTTGTACTTCTTTTGTCTTCTTTCTTTTACTTATGTTCTATTATTTTGTCTTCTCTCTATTCTTTCTTTAACAAACAATATGCTTTGCTCCCATCAATCTCAACCTCAAACCTATATTACATCAAGAAAGAAATTAAAAAAGATTTGTTGTTCTTTGGTGGAGCCTTGACATTATCATTCTAGAAGGCTAATTGAGGCAGTGTAGAGCTTCAGTTTGTCAACACTGACAACTTTGACCAACATGTCCAACGGGTTCTTCGATCCTGGTATCTTTTGTAGGGAAAGAGCTTATTCACTCATCAACTCTCGGATATGATGATACCTCAACTAGATATGCTTCGATCTTGCATGAAACACTGGATTCTTGGCAAGATGAATTGCACTCTGGCTATCACTGAAAAGCTCACAATTGTCCTGCTCTTTACCTAGCTCTTTAAGAAAGCTCTTGAGCCAAATCATCTCTTTTTCAGCTTCTGAGGTTTCCATGTACTCTGCTTTAGTGATAGATAGAGCAACACTTTTCTGAAGTTTGGACATCCAGCTAACAACAGTACCACCCAAGGTGAACACGTAGCCTGTGGTACTTTTTCGACTATCCAAATTGCCGCCAAAATTTGCATCAGCAAAACCTTGTAAGATAATATTGTTCCTTTTAAAATAAAGTGTCATACCTGAGGTACCTTTGACATATCGCAATATCCATTTGACACCTTCCCAATGCTCCTTTCCTGGATCTGACATGTATCTACTGACAACTTCAACTGCATGGACTATGTCAGGTCTAGTGCAAACCATAGCATACATCAAACTTCTTACCGCTGAAGCATATAGAACTTTGGATATGTACTTCCTTTCTTTATCTGTCTTAGGTGATTGGTCCTTTGACAAATTAAGATGGCTTCCGAGTGGAGTGCTTCAGGTCGTTGCATCACGAAAACTGAACCTACTTAGTACCTTCTGTATGTAGTTTTCTTGAGACAATTTTAAGGTTCCTTCAGACATGTCTCTACTAATCTTCATCCCAAGCATTTGCTTGGATGGTCCTAAGTCTTTCATTTCAAACTATTCCGCCATTTGTTGCTAAACCCCGTTGATCTCATTTATGCTAGATCCTGCAACTAGCATATCATCAACGTACAACAGTAAAATGATATAGGATTCATCAAGATTTTTGATATAAAAGGAATGGTCCATCTCACATCGTGCGAAACCATTATTATGCATGAATCCATCAAACTTCTTGTACTTTTGTGGGTGATCTTGTTTCAAACCATACAAACTCTTCTTCAACTTACACACAAGGTTTTCTTAACCAGAAACTTGAAAACCTTCGGATTACTTCTTGTAGATGTCTTCTTCAAGATCACCATGCAAGAAAATAGTTTTAGCATCTAGCTGCTCCAATGCAAATTTTCTGCACCTACGATACTTAGCGCCACCCTGATAGTAGTTAATTTGACTACAGGAGAGAAGACCTCGGTGTAGTCAATTCCTTCCTTCTACTAGAAACCGGTTACTACTAATCGTACGTTGTATCTCTTCTTACCATCATGTTCTTCCTTGACTCTGTACACCCACTTGTTCTGCAATGCCTTCTTTCCTTTTGGTAACTCTGTAAGTATCCATGTTTTATTCTTTTAAAGAGAATTCATCTCTTCTTTCATGGCTAGCTTCCATTATCAGAGTTTATCACCTGCATTGCTTCAACAAAATGCTCTGGTTCTCCAGCATCAATCAGAAGTAAATAGTGGAGAGAGAGAATTAACCTATTTGAAGCATTCGTGACTCTTTTAGATCTCCTTACTGCAGGTTAAAGAGTAACTGATCCCGAATTTGATTTAAGTCCTGATTCCAGATTTAGTTCTGCATTCGGTTCTATCTTTGGTTCCGGTTCTGATCCAGATTCGGCTTCTAGTTCTTCATCTTCAATTTCAGAATCAGTTGTAATCCATCTAGCCACTTCATTTTATGAGATTTCTTCTAACTTAACTGTTTCAGAAGTCTGTTTGCTGGTGCTGGTTGGTTCTACTTCAAGCTTGTCCTTGTACATCACATTTTCATTAAATTTGACATTTCTGCGTCTTAGGATCTTTCTATTCTAATCATCCTAACATTGAT